TGTCGCGCCGCTGGTTCTGGCCCTCTACGCTTCGGCGCGTCATGCTGGCCACGTCTCAGTCCCCCAGCGGCCGCGAGCTTTTCCGAGCCTCCCACCCCGCGGATCGGAGCGATACGCTATCCGCTTGCAGGGCATAACGTGTCGCCAGGGCCGCCGCGGCGACACGCTAAGCAACGGTTCCCGAGCGTATCGAGGAGGAGGAGGAGGAGGAGGAGGAGGAAGATCGAGGGAGGCAGCGTCAGTATGGCCTCCGTGTCATGGGGGGCACGGGCCGGGGTCACGGTCAGGAGCGCATGCTTGGCGTGTCACGCCAGAGTCGGCTAGACGTAATTAAGAGTGACCTTTCGCCGGAGTGACCTTTGGTGCGGCCCCAAATCGGGTCCCCCGATCGCCGAACGCGCTGCGACATCAGCGGCTTGCGCACTTGGGTGTGGCCCCCCGCGCCCCCCCGAATGCCGCGCACCAGAGGTCACTCTCACCCAGGGTCACTCTTGCGTGTAGCCGACAGAGCACGCAAGAGGAGACGCGCTCAGATCGGGCCGGACGAAAGGGGGGGATAGGGAAAGGGGGGGTTACGAAATCTGCTGCATGCAGCCGGTTTCGGCCCCGCCGCCTGGCCCATTCCTCGATACATGGGCGCCTCCGGCGCCGGGAGGCGCCGGGAAAGTCAGCTACGTGAGCTGATTCTCAAACCCCCCCTTTTGCTGTCCCCCCCTTGCCCGGCCCGATCAGAACACGATCAGGTCCACGTGCGGCAGCGCGCACACGCTTTTGAGCGCGTGCGCTCACATCTTTGTTTCTGTGCTGCCCGGCGGGGCAGCTGCTGTTCACGAGCCGAGGCCGTGGTCCTGCCCTCGGCGGCGGCCGGCGCCATTGTCAGCGGGCAGAGGACGATGGAGAGGCTGCGGTCAGGGACGTCTGCTTAGCGTGTCGTCGGCGTCACCCCAACATACTTATACTATATGTGCGTCGCCCCCCCCCCAGGGGGCGACGCGCGCACCGAGAAGTCTTGCAGTGTATGCGTCGTGGCGGGCGCTTCCTGGCCCCTTTCTTCACCCCTCATCTAGGCCGCCCCCCATTATATACTCCCTGTCCGAAAGATCCGACTAGATTTCGATTCCAAGGTCCTCGTTGCCAACGCGCAGTGTCGTCACGGCAGGATCCGGCCGCAACCGGGGGTTGGATGCGATGCGTTCGGTAGCAGATCATGGGGGCCTCGTACCATCGTCGTACCAGGGGCAACGATAGGGGGGAACAGGCGTAGCGGGGGATGCATCGACCCCCGATCGCCCACTCATCGGCGATCCGGGCCCGATAGCCTATCGAGGGCCTGTCGCCGATCTATCGGCGATGTGTCGCCAGTTCCAGGTCGATGTGTTCCCCCTGTGCCTGTTCCCCCCTGTCGTTGCCCCTCATCGTTTACCCTCGTAAGTCGGCCTTCAGAGTGCGTTGGCGTCGGTTGGCGTCTGGCAGTCGATGAGATAGCGCCGAGCAGCATCGATTTAGCGTTGATTGTGCTCGGCTAGCGTCGGGTGTCGGCTCGCTAGAGCCAACGAGATGGCACGGGAGGCCCCCTATAGGGTTGCCGCAGAGAGGTGGGGAGGACGCGGCAGGCACGGCGCGCCCAGGGCTTCGTGCTCTGCCCCTCCCGACCTCGCCCATGCCCTCTTGCGCTCTGCGCTGCCTTGCGTCAGCAGGTTTAAAGACACACGCAGACACGATTTGTCGTGTGTGCCCTGGGCCCCCCTCATAGAGTTCCATCCCGTGGGCACAAGACACCCGCCCTCGAGCAAGGCAAAAGAGCACCACCCGAGAGGAACGGGCACCACCACCCACTTCGGGGCGGGTGGATCCTGGCCCAGCTTCCGACGACGCCGGGATCCCGGCTTCCAATCTCTGGGCGTTGGCCGGCGGGGAGCGGTCCTCTCGCTCAGCCTCGGCCCCGCTGCCCCCTTCCTCCTCCTCCTCCTCCTCCCCCTCCTCCGCCTCCTCCGCCTCCTCCTCCGCCTCCTCCTCCTCCTCCTCCGCCTCCTCCGCCTCCGCCTCCTCCTCCGCCTCCTCCGCCTCCTCCTCCTCCGCCTCCTCCTCCTCCGCCTCCTCCTCCTGTCCCTCCCGACCTCGCCCGCTACCTCTCCCCTCGCCGCCTCCCTATCCGGCTCGCCGAGGCCTGCCTCTGCCGCCCCCTCTCCCCGCCCCGCGTCCTCGCGGCCTCCGCCGCCCAGGCCCCCCGCCGCGGCCGCTCCGGCGCTCCACCCTTCCCGCCTCTCCCCCGTGCCTCGTGCCCCCCTCGTCTTAAGTCGAGCAGGTCCCTCTCTACTCGGGGGCGGAAAAGAGGGGGGTGATGACTAGGGGGGGTGGATATCATGGCGGGGGGCATGATATCTCCCCAGATGTCATGGCGCCTCTTCTTGTTTTATTACGTCCCTGGCCCCCCCGCTGGGCCGCGCACATGCCGCCGGTCATGATTTGCACCCCCCCCCCCTCTTGGACACCCCCCTCTTGGCCGCTCCCGAGTCTTAAGTCGAGCAGGTCCCTCTCTACAGGAAGAAGATTCAAGAATAGTCGTGAAACAGTCCGGGGGGCGATGTGTCGTGCCCGTGTTGGCTCTGCTTGTGGATGTGGTCTGACGCTGTCTTGTTTCTTCCTGCCAATATCCACCTGGAGGAGGAGATGCCCGACGTAGCCCTCATCGTACCTTCCCGCTCTGGTCCCGACTTCCTTCCCCCGGGGCTCGCCTTCCGTCCCAGGTCCGATCTTGATCTCTAGGCCTCCCAGATGGGGTCCGAGCAGCTGGGGTCGAGGACCGCGCCGCATCGCCGATGCATCGGCGATACATCGCTCATGCGGCTCGATGTGGTGCCAACTGTTCTCCACGCCGACGTCGCCGGTGCATCGCCGGCGTCGCCAGTGCATCGACGATGCATCGGCGATGCGTCGGCGATGCATCGCCGATGCGTCGCCGATGTATCGGCGATGCGGCCGACCCCATCTCATCGGACCCCATCTAGGAGGCCTTTACGATCGCCCAGGGGCACGATAGCGGCACGAGGCCGCAGTCGAGGGAGCGCGCCTGGGGTGGAGAAGATATCACGCCGTCTGAGCTCTGGGTCCAGCGCAGATGCAAGAGATCCGCGCGCAGAGCCAAAAGTTACTGCTCGTGACGTTGTTCGCTCTTCTAGCCCCGGGTCCGATCTGTCTTGATCGCCCTGGGGCCTGAGAACGGCACCCACGAGGCCGCAATCGAGGAAGCACGCCGGGGGGTGGAGAAGATCTCGCGCTGTCTGCGAGCTCCGGGCCTGGGCTCTCTGTCCCCCCCCGCACACTTTGCCGCTCCTCCGGCGGGTCCGCGTTCGCGCCGTCGCCGTCCTCCTGCGGCCCTGCTCTGAAGTCGGGCATGTCCCTCTGGAGTCAACGCGCCTGGTAAGGACTCGCGACTTCATCTGGAGTGCCCATGTGTCCTTACCTCTGCGGCACGTCCTTTGCTATTTTCACTGGTGGCCCGCCGCCCCCCAAAAAGTCCCACTTCGGCCGCCAAGGGTCTTGCGTCCTTGCCACTCGTCCTTACTACACGTTTTGAGTGTACAGGAGGGGGGAATATTCAAACATGGCCAACAAAATTGTTAGAGGCCGATTTGTCGTGCTCGCTCACTAGTGTTGCTTACTGCTGGACTATTTTTGATTCCTTCCAACATCCGCCTGTAGGAGAACATGCCCGACCTGACCCTGCTCCTCCTCCTCCTGCACCCCCTTCGCCGCGTCCTCCTCCTCCTCCCTGCGTCGCCGTCCTCCCTCCCTGTGCTGGCTCCTCCTCCTCCCCCCTCCCCCCTTGAGAAGACCCCTAAGTCAGTCTACTGTGGGCCACCCCCACGGGGGGGTGTAGTTTGCCAGCTGTGTCAACGATGCTGACTGGCACCGATCCGATCTCCCCGATCTCCCCCCTCCCCCCTGTGCCCGCAGCGTGCCGTCGGCTCGGCCTCGAGGGGGCCAGCGGGGCGCCCCCTCCAGCCCGTCGGACAGCCGTGCGGTGCCGTGCGGTCTGCCTGACGGCACGTCCGTCCGGGTTTCGCGGCGCGCGTTGCCCGCGGCGTCGTGCACGCGCGTGTGCAGCTGTCCGAGGCAGGAGCTGTGCACGCAGAGCGTCCACCGTGTGCGCGGTGCCGCGTCCCACGAAGGCCGAGTCGAGTCGGGTCCTCCCCCCATTCTCCTCGTTATCTTCCATGTTCTCCTCCTCCTCCTCCTCCTCCTCCTCCTCCTTCTCCTCCTCCTCCCCCCCCCCTGGGGCCTCTTGGGTCTGTCTTGGCAGGGATGCTTCCAGCGGTCTTGGGGATCCGTCTCGGAGCAGGAAGCCTCGGGAGCCGTCTCGAGGTGTGTGTGTGTGTGTGTTGGGTGATCGTTATAGGGCGTCGCGGCCGTCTTGGACGCTCCTATCACCAAAAAGACATGACTGAATGCCAAAACCATGCAACCATCGAAGAAGAACAAACGCTATTAACATAAACTGTTGGCGCTCCGCACGGATTTCTTGGATCCGCGCTGAACCCCCCCCCCGCGGCGCCTTTGGCGCCGCCCCTGGCGCACTCCGCGCGCCAGGGATAGGGGGTCCATCGCAGATCCAAGAAATTCGCGTGGAGCGCCAACAGTTTATGTTTATGGTGTTGGTTTTGTTTCTTCTCCTTCTCCTTCTCCTTCTTATGATTATTATGTTTCTTCTTCTTCTTTTTCTTCTTCTTCTTCTTCTTCTTCTAGATCTCGGGAAAAGCCCTCCCACCCCCCACCCATCCGGAATATTCCAAAAGCGCCCAAGACCAGCCAGAAATTATGGTGTTTGGGAGGTCCGGAGGCTCTCAAAGAGTCAACAGCATTTGGAACTTGGTTTCTGATGGACCTGACGGCACTTCACCCGGCCCCTGCGTGCCAGATCAACGGTAGGTGGTCGTCATCTCGCCGTCGTTATCTATCACGACGTCCGATGTCGATGTTTTTCCTCCCTCCCAGCCCGTAGCCATCATGGCCTCAGGCAGATGGTCGTGAGGGCTGCTCGGGGCCGTCGCCCCGCTCATGGCGCCTGCGGCGCTGTAGCGGGGGCCGAGGCGCATGCCTGACGACGCCGACTCCCTGTACAGCCTGCTCCGCAAGGCCAGTCATTTAAGTGCGGTTGGGCGCCACAAGGGCTTCACACAATGCATGCTGTCCAATTTTGATAGCGCTGCGAGCGGTTTCGAATTCTGTCCGCTTCGATCCTCTCTGCTTTCCTCCTTCTTCTCCAAAAAATAAAAAGCCTGCTCCGCAAGGCCAAGCCAGTCTGGAGCGGGCAGGAGCTGCGGAGGGTCCACGAAAAGCTCGGCAGGGTGGACATCCGGGACGCGGAGTCGCTGGGCCGCGCCGTGTGCGAGGGCAGGCTGAACGCGGCCCTGGCCTCCGCGGGCGAGCGCCGGCTGAAGAGCTCCACGGTCACGCAGTTGAAGGTCCTGGTCCGCGACGTCCACAGGGCCAAGCAGGCGGTGATGGGCCATTTTTTGACCACTGCCACCAACAGGTAGGACGGCGGAGAAGGGAGGATGAGGTGGCCCACCTCCTCCTCCTCCTCCTCCTCCTCCTCCTCCTCCTCCTCCTCCTCCTCCTCCTCCTCCCTCTCCTACCTATGGTAGCGGTGGCGGAAAGTCGGCCCAGCAGGCGGAGCAGGAGAGCGAGTCCATCACGGGGCTGCGCCGGTGCTACTGCGGGGACTGCCGCTACTGCGCAGCGGGCGCGCAGGCCCGCGAGCTGCGTCTGCGGGCGCAGGCCACGAGCGAACCGTGCCTCGTATGGCCGCCCTCGCCATCGAAGGTCAGGAGGGGAGAACGCACACAGACGCAACGACTCGCCGCTTCCCCGGCAGATCTGGGAAGCTCTGGGAAGTGTGGGGGGGGGGGGGGAGTGAGACGAGAGCCCAGAAAAATCGTGGGGGAGGCATGTGCATGGGGGGACTCCGGGGAGCTGCCTCCTCAGACCCCCGACGTCATGCATTTTTCATGACCTCGACCCCGACCCGTTCCCCGGGACCAGTTTTGCGTCCTGAGTCGTTTTTTGACGGTCCCGAGGGCCGGTAAGGGCCCCCCGAGGCCAAAAACGAATGAAAAACCTCCCGCCGCGATTTTTTCATAATTCGAGGGGGTCTGGGTCTCTTTCTTCGTGTGTCCTATTGGGCCCCCGCAGAAGAGCCTCGCGTCGCCGCGCCGGGCCTCCGGCCCGGCCTCGAGCCGGCGGCCGCCCGCCTTCGCGGGAGCGCAGTCGCCCGCCCTGCGCCGCACCGGGGAGTCCCTCGCGGCGGGCGCGGGCGGCCCGGGCCAGCGCAGCGCGGCCGACCGGCTGACGGCGCTGGGCAGCAGGCTGCGCGACACGACGGAGAGGCGGCCGCCTCCCCGCTGCGCTCCCTTCCGGCAGGGGGGGGGCGACGACGAGGACGAGGACGAGAACGACGAGGAGGAGGAGGAGGAGGAGGATGAGGTCTTCGAGCAGTGGCGAAGCGTCCCGGCGTGCTTATAGGCCCACCAAAGAGTGTTCTCAGAACCCTCCGTGGCTTGCAGGAAACATGATTTGAACGCTTCTGGCTGACACTGTCTTGTTTCAATGCATCGGGCTTACGTTCTAAGAACATTGTTTTTGTGACGAGAACATCGTGTGTTCTGAGAACACGTCGTGGTAGGCCTATAGGAATGCCGGGATGGTCGGTCCCTGCTCAACCCTGCGCTCCATCCGCAGTCCCCAAGCCTCCCTCGCGTCGGGGGCAAGAGTCTCGAGGGGAGGTGTTTGGCCATGCTCGGCCTCTTGAGACCCTCGCGGGCCCCAAGGCCGTCCAAAAACGACTCAGGATGAAAAACTGGTCCTGGGGAATGGGTCGAGACGTGCGGGGGTGCACGCTGAGAAAAACACGGCGTCGGGAGGTCAGGGGGCAGGGGGCAGGATGGAAGGCACCACCCAGCCCAAAAGTGGGAAGCATGTTGTCTGTGGTCGGTCTTGCCGTCTGGTTGTCTCCCGCATGCATTTGGGCTGGGTTGCGCGCTCCGGCAGTTCGGCCTTCCCCTCGGAGCCAGGCTGGCCATGGTCAGCCAGGAGTCCGGCTCGCTGGGCAGCTGTCCCAGTCCCGCGACAGGGATGATCTCGGCAGCTTGGCGGCAGACCTCGCGGACCCGTTCGGGCTCGGGGTGGGCAAAGAAACTACCAACTCCAGAATTGCTACGCGTGCTTTCGCCACGGGCGAGACACATGACTGGACGAGATTATCCACCGTGGGGAGGGGCGGGGGGGGGGCGCATGTCCCAGGGCGGCTGGAAGCTTCGCGCTCCAGAGAGTCACCGCCACTCCCTGTGGCACGGCATGGTCGTTCCTCTGGAGGTATCGTGGGCTGGTCTTGGGGCGTCTTTTGCCTCCTCGTCGGCCTCCCTCTTGGGCTAACCTATCTTGATGCTTTCTTCTGGTAAGTATGATTTATGGATGCGGGCCATCTTCGATCTGTTGAGGGTCAGCTTGAGGCTGTCGTCTTGGGGGGCCCTTGAGATCGTAAGCCCTCTGGGCCGTCCTGGACTCTCCGAGGCCCTCTTGGAACAAGATTTAGTCAGACATCTCAGCAGCCCAATCGGCCATCTTGGCTCTGTCTGGAGCCCTCCTGGGTCGTCTGTGGGCGGTCGGGGGCCGCGTTGGGAGCCTCCTTGGGCCATCTTGGTATCGTCTTGATCCGTTTGACTTGTTTAAACATATACAAGTGGCCCGCAGATTTTTTGGATCGGCGTTGGACCTCCCTCTTCGCGCCTCAGGCGCCGCCTTTGACGCACTCCGCGCGCCAGGTAGGGGGGGGGGTCCAGCGCAGATCCCCCAAAAGACGCGTCGACCTCCGAAGTGTTATGGTCATATCACGACCGCCGGGACAGGTTTGGAGAGCCATACCGAAGGTCCTATCTGATACACCACGGCCAGCATTTTTGTGGACAAGGGGGCGGCGTATCGAAGACGCCTACGACGAGACACGGCCGTCCCCTGCCCTGGCAAGGCAAGTACGCCTCATGATCGATGTAACAAGTTGCGGCTGAATTCTGATTGCCCGAATTGTTGCAGGGACGATCTGGAGAGCGCAGTGGTCCAGAGTTAAGGGCTGTGCCTGTTATGGACCACCTGGGACTCTCTTCGACCGTCCTGTGGCTCTTCGGGCCGTCTTGCGGCACTCTTGGGCCCCTTGGGACGACAGGGGCCTCTCGTGGCCGTCTTGGAGTTTTTTTGGGGGCCCTTCAAAGCTGCCCCCGCCATCCCTGTCGAAATTCATTTGACAGTGATCGCGGGATGGCCGCGCAAGATCCAAATTTAGTCGCGAGGTGCATGTTGTATTAGTTTTTGTCAGGGATGGTAGCCCTGCGCGCAGCAGGCAATATGCTGGCACCCCCGCCGTCCCGGTGAAAAACAATACAACGTGTTCGCGGGCCTCACGAACATGACTCAAGATTTTGCCCCTAAGTGTACTTTGCATTGTTTTTTGAAAGGGATGGTGGGACGGGGGCGGATCGGGGCGGCCGCGCATGCTCCAAATGTGGGGGCAGAGCGCGGTGTGTATGTTTTTTGACAGGGATGGTGGGGGGCGGGCCCGCATAGAGTCGACATGGTTCCCTGGTTGGCCCCTGGCCGGGTGGGAGAGGGGGTGTATATTAATAAGGATCAGTGATCAAGACACCCTCCCCGCCCGCAAGCCGTTTCGCTAACTTCACCCGCCCTCCCGACACATCAGTAGCACCCGGGCCTCAGCATACTCAGCAGTCGTCTTTTGATGGGCTGCTAATGGGAACCAACAAAGATCCCATGTGCTCAAGGCTGGGGCGAGGTGCGCAACGCGTGCCATTCGCGCCATGCGCGTCAGGTGCGCCAGGCACCCCCGTGGCCGAAGCGTGCCAGGCACGCCTGGCGCGCCAGATGCGCCATATGATCCACTTGCGCCATGTCTGCCGCTTGCTCCAGCCGCGCCAGGTGCGCCATTTTCGGGGCGCGCGCAGAGAGTGCCGGGTGCCCCTGCGTACATGGCAGTAAACATCGGGAAACGTGTCGGCCCCCACCACCCTTGTCGAAAGCGAGTGCGCAATCGCGGCGGGGTGGCCATCATAGTGTATGGTGCGCCTGCACACTGCAGGCAGTATGCCAGTCCCCCGCCGTCCTAGTCAAAAATAATGCGCAGTGATCGCAGGGTGCCCGCGCATGAGTGCATGTTGTATTGTTTTTTGATAGGGATGCTGGCCCTGTGCGCAGGAGGCAATGCGGGCCCCCCCGCCGTCCAGAAACAATATATAATGCTCGCGGCCCCCCGATCATGACCCAAGATTTTGACCCAAAGTGGACTTCACATTGTTTTTCTGACAGGGCGGTGGGGGTCCTCACTGGTCCTGGTTGGCTGCCAGTCGCCTGGGGGAGGGGGCGTTCATCAATAGGAACCATTGCTGAACCCGTCCCCGAAGAGCAAGAATCGGGGGACTGGAGCAGGAAGCGCCCTGAAGTACTCACGCCCCCAAGGGCGAGTGGGATTCGAACATCCTTTTGTGTGAAGATAGGGAAACAAAACGTGACATAAACATAAAAAACTCGGAGGTCCGCGCGGACCTAGTTTTCATGTTTCTGTCACGTTTTGTCTCCCCTAGAAGAGCATGTCATGGGAGGCCCATGCGGTCGCTCCCTGCTCAAATGGTCGTCGGCGGTCTGGGCTGCTGGCTCCCCGCAGGCCTCAGCTCCCGGCCGGGCGGCCGGGCCAGCGTCGAGAGTGCGGCGACCTTCTCGTCCGCGCCCTCGCACGGCAGGCCGTCCCTGCGCCACGCGGCAAGCGCCCGGTCGCTGCACGCCGGATGATCGCCGTGGAGGCGAGGGGCCCAGGTAGAGTCGACTGCACGTAAGAGTGACCCTTCGCCGGGGTGACCTCTTGGTGCGGGCTCATCGGGCTCCCCCCGATCGCCGAGCGCGATGCGACATAAGCGACCCGCGCCCTTGGGTTTGGCTCCCTCGCGCCCCCAAAAGCTGCGCACCGAAGGTCACTCTTACCCAGGTCACTCTTACGTCTAGCCTGTAGAGGCCAGAGGCAGCCAGCTGTCAAGCAGCGAAAAGGCATCCCGGCTTTCCTAGAGGCCCACCAAAAAGTCCATGACACGTTTGTGCTTCGGTGCGAACTGTTCTGAGAACATGTCTGGCTGAGGCCATATTTACATAATGCATCGGCTCTACGTTTTGAGAGTGTGGTTCTTGTGAGTGGAGAAATTGTTTGTTCCAAGAACATGTTCGTGGTATGCCTACAGGAATGCCGGGACGGTCGGTCCCTGCTCAAAGCAGAGGCTTGTCTTCCTTTCGGCCCGAATCAGGGGCTGCAGCCTGCAGGCCAGAGGGGGCGTCATCGCCGCGGGGAAAGTGGGTATTGAGGGCAATACGGCCGGGGCCTTGAGGTTTATCCCCTCGCTCTCGGCCTTTTGGGGCCGTTCAAGGCCCCCCAGGACCGTCAGAGGACGGCTCATGAGAAGGAGCTGGCCCTGGGGGAAGGCCTGGGGGGTGCAAGAACCGCTTCCCTCCAGACCCGCTTCCCCCACGCCACGATCAGGTCGCGGCCAGCGCAGCGCGACCGATGCCGAAGCTGCGGAGAAAGTCAGTGATTCTCTTCCCTGCTCACTCTTCCCCTTACACTCTTCCTCTTCTTCCCCCTCTTCCCTCTAGCCCCTTCCCGAGATATTGGAACCATCCGGGGTTGTAGGCATGAGGACTGAAACGTCGACCCTTGTTGTTCTTTAACTGCACACTCCCACTGGTGACACTGCAGTTTCACAAGACATGCCGCGATTGCCCGCAGTCTTGCACAACACTCTCACCCTCTCTAGACCTGGGCGATTGGCGCTTATCCAGCAGGAGTTCCAGCATTCTTCGTTCATTGGGTTGCAGAGTACTAAGGTCAGTGTGTGCGCTGACGAGACTTCGGTTACGGCGCAAGTTGTGGGCTCACATGTCTTCTACCATTTTCCCTGGAAGCCCGGATATTTTTCTTCAAGAGTCTTCTGGTTGTGCTATTGGCCTTCGTTCGAAGCTGTTCCAGAACAAATATTTGTCAAATTGGGGTCCCTCCCAACGCGCTCTCTGGAACGGCTGGTGCCCTACACAGTGTACCTGGAGATGCAGCCTTCTGCTTGATAGTTACGTCTTTTGCCGTTCCACGAGTCGAGCGCAACAGTGTAACGCGGAGCTAGCCAAATGTCTTCGGAATGTGTTGCAGTCCCTTCCACATCGGGTGCTCCCAGTCCTTCTCACGGATGGGAATACCCACACGTGCGCACGACATTCGAATGACACCGCGGACGGACTTTTCTCCATGCGCAGTGAGAGCCGCAATGGGAAATTGTTGTATGATCTTCTGCGTGACCAGCACATGGCATCGTTCAATCCATGATATTATTTTTGGACTACATATCACACCATTGGCATCGGCTATCATCGATGACCTTTGCCTTCCTGACGCACTGCGCCCTCAGGCCGTACGATGATGTAACTTCAACGCGTCCGGACGGCGACCCCGGGCAATTGCAGCCCCCGACCAGCGGGACCACTGCCCGGTCCAAGTAGTGTTCGACGGCGCTCTCACGCACCAGGCTCCCCATTCGATCAGCTAGGCCGTCGTTTGGATTAGAAGCAAGCTAGCTGCTGTGCGCCGTCGATACTAACAGGCACGATTCGGTTACGGTAGGTTTGCGTCGTGTCGACCAGCGGCGACCCCAGCGCGGGCGTTCAAGGTTGAACGCCGCCGGCGACCCAGAATCGGTCGATGTTGAACGATCGGACGTTGCGGAAATGGCCGATCGTTCAAGGTTGAACGATCCCTGCGGTGTCAAAAACCAACGCTGGGGTCGGCACGACACGAACCTGCCGTACGCCAGAGCGCTGCGTTGCGGATCTCAATCAGGCTGCCAACGAGTGCGCGACGCCATGGTATTCTGCACAGTCCGGGAGCCGCAGAGCGGAACCAGCAGATATGTATTAGGCTGCCGCACAAACGTGCCGTTTCCTCCTCCTCCTCCTGCTCCTCCTGCTCCCTCCTCCTCCCTCCTCCTCCCTCCTCCTCCTCATCCCTCCTCCTCCTCCTCCTCCTTCTCCTCCTCCTCCGTCTCCTCCTCCTCCAGGGAGCACAAACGGAACCAAGCATGTAGCGATCTCTCTATTTCTGTCGTTGCGTTGCGACTTCAGACGGACGCCGTTCGACCCCGCGATTTTGGCACTGTGCTCGCAGCTCCTCTTCCGACACTTGCTGGCGCAATTCCGACCCCCCCCCCGTTCGAGACGCACGGTACCGACCATGTCCGAGAATGCGAGGAACATGCGAGGCAGGCCATTTCCCGCGCGAGCCACGGCGAGTGGACGATAACCCTGGCAATCTTGGATTTGGGCCATACGCTCAGAAGGCTCTGCTACGTGCTCTCCTCATGGCTTGTCAATAGCCATTTGCAGCAGCACAGAGGTCGCCGTTTCGACCGGGCGACTTCGGACAGCTAGCATCTGGCCGCTTCTCGAGCTTGTCTGGCAGTGTCAATTGTACACGCGCCACGCAGGCAGGCTGCTTGCAGGCAGCCGCCGCAGGGCGTGGCGTCGTTTTTGCTTCGCGAACTCGGCTTCGGAGAGCAACGGCACGGAGTGGGGACAGCATGGGGCTCCTGCGCGTCTTTCTTCCCCCCTTTCCTACCCTATGTGCGCTGCACTACCCGGCATGGGGGCGCAGGGATTCGGGCATGGATCACCTGTTGCTGGAATTATGCGCGTGAAGTGCGCGCTTGTGCCTTTTTCCCACCGTGGGCTCATCTTATTGCACACTACTGTGCTGATGCGACACTCAACGGCCATGGATGTCTTTGTGCACGATGAACGTTTAGCCCAGGATGTAGCCGATGCGCGGGACGGACGGCAGTTTGATCGGGCGTTCACCAAACTACGTGCCAAGGGAGTTGAGCCGGGTCTTCCAAGCGAGTCAACGCAGAGCGCCCCCCATATTTGAGCTCGAGACGGCGCCATGGCTGCCGCCCGCTCGGAGTCTGCGGACCGCTGGTTTCGCCACGCAGGGAATCTGCGTGGGGGTGCCAGTGCAGGACGCGGAGGCCAGAGCAGTGCAGTGAAGTCTTACCGCCTATGCTGGCTGACTACCAGCAAGCCCTCCGCGCCGCGAAGGCCTGCGCCGACAGCCTATATGGCATGCCAGGTGCTGCGCCACCAGCGGAAAGGAGCCCATGCAGCGGAAATGGGGCAACTACCAGAACATCTGGAACATCTGGAAAAATGGCCGCGGCAGTGCGCAAGAACCACAGGTCTTTGATGATCTGTTCCCAGGCAGGCAAGGAGAATCGACAGCTGCTTCGCGCCCCACTGGCCGACGACCTACCCGACTTTGCAAGGGGGCCCAGCACGGCGGCGTCGCAGGCAGAGACGTGGACGTCGCGGCGCTGGCGCTTCGCTCATTCCAGGAGCTTACTGTCACCGTCAATCCCCTGGAGTTTTCTTTCACGATCGATGTTTTTTTTGCCGCGCCATCAGGGAGCTAGTCGCGCAGGCGGGAACGCCAGACGCTGGCCTCCAGCTCAGACTGTAGACAGCAAGGCTACGGGGCCATAGCTGATTTCAACAGGACGCACTGCTAACCGCCCAACTCTTCTGGAAGCTGCAGGGGCATCGAGGCGCGTCAGAGCCTTGACGGCCTCCAGCTGCACGGGCAGATGGTTCTGGCATCCCTGGGCATCCGCTATCGCGCTCTCATTCGAGGGCGCAGTGCCAGGGCAGCAGCCAGGGGATGTTGCAGTCAATTACGCCACGGCGGCGCGCGCGCACGAGGCGGGGCAGCGTCTGCGTGAGCTTGAGCTCGACATGCGCGCCCCCATCGCTTGACACGCCAGTCTTTCTGACAGGGCGCAGCAGGCTCCTCATGCGATCCGAGGTGGGCGGGCTGGATATATATGCTTATTCGATGATGGTGCTCTTGTGGTGATCTGCCCGGCCACCGTGCTCCTGCGGGCGTCTCCTGAGGCTGCAGAAGTTTCTGGACGCCCGAAATGGGTACTGAAAGAATGGGTACTATGCCCAACAGCGGATCTTGTTCATTTTGAACCAGATCCGCTGTCCACGCCGCCGCGGCTTGTGTCCATTCGAGACAGGAGGCCGCCCGCCCAACAGCGGCCGCTGTTGGTTTGGGACAACATTGGTTGTTGGGCATAGTGCTCATTTTTTCGGTACCCATTTCGGGCGTCCAAAAAGTTGTAGCGGCGGCTTTGTCTCCGCAGGCTTCGCTTCGATTTCGTCCCCGGCAAGATTGCGGCATTTTTCCCAGCTGAGACGCGCAGGCGCCAGGCGTTCTCTGGCAGGAACGACGGGGCAGTTTTTCTGCGCGGCCCGACGCATTCGGCGATTTCGCATTGCACGCGGCACGCGCGCACCCGCCCCTCGGCGCACAGATACATAGATGAGCTGAGATCCATCGGGCCCGGGTTGGCCCATAGTGAGTACTCGTAACGGGCGTTTGGGCAGCATCTCCGCCAGCGCATCTTCAGGTCCCTTGTTGGCCTCCCTCGAGAGGCCACGCTGCAGTTTGCCGATGCGTTTGTTCTCTCAAACCCCGCCAGACTCCGACGCCAAGCCCGACCGATTCATATGAGCTAAGCAGCGGCGTGCCGACTGTCGAGCGGCCCCGCGCGCCCGCGCGTTCCGACTGTTGGGCCGCCTACTACGCCGCGGCATTCCGACGCTACGCAGCTTAGTGGCCCGTCTGCATCGCCCGACGCATGCAACCAGCACGTCTTGTCTCGCAGAGTCCTGGCTGACTTGCTGTGGCTCAGGCTCACTCGCCATCAGATGCGAGGCATTCCCGACCCGACTTCGGATTTGGACTCACGGGAGCAGCGCGCCCTGAAATCCGCACCAGCCAGGAAGACTGCCGCCAACACTGCTCTCGCTGCTCATCCCAAAGTTGCCGCCCGAGCTGGTCCTGTTCAGCAGGCTTGGACGGCCGTTGTCGAGCTGGCGCGGCCGGCAGGAGTTCCCGCGCCTATTGCCGGCGCCAACCATCCCAATTACCCGCCGAAGGTACACAATGTGGAGCTGCGATGCACGCGGTGCCCAACAGTCGGGCACATGGTGTCGCGTTTCATGGGTGAAGGTGCAGTGAGCATCTCGTGCTCTACTTTCTTCTCCTCTCGTCAGCCGCTTCGAGATCACCTGGCCTTCGGCGCCGCCTTGTGCCAGCCTGCGCGCGCGATGCACGGGGCAGTGCTGCCGCCAGAGAGAGAGAGAGAGAGAGAGAGCGAGAGCAGAAGAGCTTCGCCCAGTGCGTGCAATTCAGCAAGTTGCACAGAGGCCAGCAGTGCTTGGGAAATGGCGCGCGTCGTTGCCTGCATCAGTGCAGCATCCTGAAGATGGCTTTCGCCCGTGAGCGATGCTCGGCCCAGCCCTTTATAGGGAAGCAGGACCCCGCGCACTCGTTCGGGGCATGAATTTGAGTTTCAGGAGGGGAAAAAACACACAGACACAATTAATCGGCGATTCCAAGAAAATATTGGAAAATATGGGAAGTGGGGGGGAAAACAAAAACCCAGAAAATATGAGAAAATATGGGGGGTATTTTTATTTGTG